CCGGGAGATCTGCAATACAAAGAAGATAGTCAAGATTAGCCCGATCAACGATATTTGGGCAAAGAAAGGTTAAAAGTTGGGACTCACCTCGGCCAGATCGTGGCCAATCCGTTCAGCCACCTGGGTCGGGGTCATTTTCCCCAAATCCGCTCGGGCTGGCGCGGCGTTACCGATCCGTGCCAGCACGGATGTAGGCTCCCTCTCCCGCCCGGCCGAAGGGGTCGGGCTGTGCTGCTCGCTGCGGCGCTTTAGGCCGCCCGCCTCGGTCGCGCCCTGGTCGGCGACCTTCTCCTTGCCCCGGGCGACCTCCACCCGGGTAACCAGGACGTCCGGCTGCTCCACGATGAAGCCCTCGCCCGTCGACACGGTCGAGGCGCTCAGAGGTCGGGCGGATGGGATCTCCTTCTCCCCGGCCGCCTTGGTCTTGGCCTTCTTCTTCCCGCCGAGCGAGATCTTGACGGGTGGGGGAAGGGCGGTGTCTTCGTCACCAAACTCGGCCATAGCTGCAAAACAAGAGCAGAGTTAGTTTGGTCAAAAATAAAGCTAGGTCGGGAAGAACAGCTCGGGCTAAACCTTTCTTCTTTCGTTTCGAAGGCTTGGCGACCGTCACGCCCATCGGAACGGGCAGATACTTCTCCGGCAGCTCGTACGTGGGGGGCGGGAGCATGGCAGCTGCGAGACTTTCAGCCGTCCGGTAGATTGTGTATTCGTGCACCTCGCTCGAGATCCGGCTGACCGCGTCCCTCAGCGCCTGCGTCTCGGCCGGCACCACTTGTTTCCGGAAATGTGTGCTCCAGACGCGATCGACCGGGAAGATCCAGGGCTCGTACTTGAGGGAGAAAATCCTGTTTTTCCACCCCTTGTTGTTCCCGGGCAAGCCTCTGATCGAGCACATATCCGTTCGGGACTGCAGCATCAGGAACCCACCCCCGTAGCGGCCCGGGAGAACCTTGATCTGGTAGATGAAGTTAAATAACTCCATCGTGCACTCGGCCCCGTGCCGAGCGCATATCTGTGGGAAGCAGGCCAAGATCCGATGTGCGTTCAGGCAGATCTGGGCCGGGACGACTCGGTAATAGGCCAAGAAGGCATTTAGGAGGGGGGTGAAGGGAATGGCGATCGGGGCTGTCAGGGAGTCATAGTGCATCCCGATCCACTTGCCCCGATGCCTGTCAATTACATTTTCCAGCTGCCGGCTCGTGTCGAATTCTGCCCGACCCCTGAGTGTTTCGGCAATCCGAGCCGCCTCGCCTTTGGACAGCAGGCTCATTTCTTGCTCGACGCTCTCGCTGTTCAGGAACTCGAGCTCGACGGCTGGTCCGGCCGGCCCGGCCGGGTCTTCTTCGGTCTGTTCGGGGGTATTTTCTCGATCACCCCCTCGAAGAGCAGCTTCCGGGTGGTCCCCAACCACCCGGGTGGGCGTTTCCCTAACGCCCTCGGTTGGAGAACCTCGCCCGCTCGACGTGGTCCTCTCTTCCCCTTCTTCGTTGGAGCTCCCCGATCCGCTTGAACTTGAGCTTGACGATCCAGAGGAGCTTGATGCGTTGTCTCGCTCGGCGGCTTGCTCGGGGGCTGGCGTCGCTCGGGACTAGCGTCCGGGGTGTAGGACATTATGTCCACTTCCTCGTCGCTGATGTGCTCGACCTCCTCGTCGTAATCGGCAATCGAGGCGTTTTGACTGTCCGAGTCTGTCATATCGATCTACCTAAAGGTCGGTCGGAGTTAGTAAGGACTTCAAACGTCCGGGACAGTTAGTTGACCTAGCAGTTCTACCTATAAATGAGTGCCTAAAGTAAAGAGGAGGGTTGAGAGCTTACCGATTGAAGGAAGATTGAAGTTCGAAGCTTGAAAGTTGAGGTTTGCTTGCTCGACTGCCTTGCTAAGCTGCTCTGCTCGGGACTCTCTGAGGGTACCGACTGATGCGAAAGAGTGAGGAAAGTTCAAATGAGGGCCTCAAGGGCCTATTTATAGGAGGACATTTAGGCGGGAAATGGGCCAACTTGCCTGACACGACCCGCGCTGAATCCAAGGCGACGGATGGGATCGCCAAGGCCGGCAGAGGCCGACACGTGGCGTAAGGGGAATGACAGCTGGCCGGTCGGTCTAATGCCTGACGGTTGGGCTTCTTCATCCCGTCCCGTTTTTTCCCGACTGATCAAAAAGGCCCGGGCTGGGGGGCTCTTGGTAGGGAATATCCCGACCGACATAGCTTCACCACGACCGAGGAGTCTTTGTCTCTTTCTCCTTGTCTTTGCAGGTAACAAGTCGGGCTCCCTGAGAAGAACCCGGTCGGGAACCGACCAGGAGTTGCCCGAGCGGGGGTGACAACCCCGAGCGGTAGTCCTTCGGCAAGAGAGCTGACTAAAGACACGTGGCGGCTCTTTACATCGACAGGCAGGGCACCCAGGAGGAGGGCACGTGGTGGCTACGTGGAAGACATGCCGAGCAGCTGGGATCTTGTCTCCGGCACAGTGGCTATAAATGCCCACAGTAGCTACAGTGTAGAGAACTTTTGGAGATCGTTAGGTTGTAACTAGAGACTCCCGACCGCAGTCAGTCGGTACTCAGTGCAACCAAGTAGATTGTACTTAGGAACTCTACCTTGATCAATAAAGAATTACTTGCTTTACTTGGTCTTGGGTTATTTATATTGCTTACGTAGAATTAGCAGTATCACATATAATACTCTTTTAGTTTCAAAAGCAGTCTTACATTCATATCACAATAATAAATTACTCCGTAATATATTTTTCAATAAATAAATAATACTAAAAGTTTAAAAATAAAAAATAAAAAAATTGCTGCCTAGTTACGTCTGATCTGATCTGGTCATAAACAAACAACATGAACAGAGATGAGCAAATTAAAGGAAATAACATTAAACTTTGAATATGCAATAACAGTAAATATCCAAAATGGTGCCACGAGTATGCTACCATTCATAAATTAGTCGTCAACTATAAATTTTATTAATTAAGTCTTCAACTATATAATTTTAACTCAGAGGAAATTTCAATTTTGGTCATATGACTATAGGGGTTTTGTTAATTTTAGTCCCTGACATTCAAAAGTGTCAATTTAGTACCTTAACTATGCAATTTTTGTCAATTTTGGTCACTCCGGCCAAATTATTGGCCAAATTTCGTCGGAAAATTTTAATAATTAAAATAATGAGGATATTTTGATCGTATCACGTCTCTTTTCTTCTTCTCCGTCGAGTCCATCCCTTTCTCTCCCGTTTCCGGCGTTCTTTCTCCCTGTAAACCCTATCTTTAATATCATCAAGCCTCTTTTCCCCATCATCTTAGTTCATTGCATTCACCAGAAACAGGAGAGGAAGGGATGGACTCGCCTGGGAAGAAGAAAAGAGACATGAAATGATCAAAATACCCTCATTATTTTAACAATTAAAATTTTCCGGCAGAATTTGACCGGCGATTTGGCCGGAGTGACCAAAATTGACAAAAATTGCATAGTTAAGGTACTAAATTGACACTTTTAAAAGTCAGGGACTAAAATTAATAAGACCTCTATAGTCATATGACCAAAATTGAAATTTCCTCTTTTAACTCAATAATTCGCAACTTAATTATTCGTTGAGGACCTTATTGAGTTATTGTGTAAGAATTGAATAATTGAAGATTTTCTTAATTAAAAATTGAATAGTTGAATACCTTATTGGGCAAGAATTGAAGAGTTTATAATATTGATGTTATACTTTCTTTAGAACCTGAAGATAACTAAATATTTATTGCCACATCAAAAAATAAAGGAATAAGGGTCAAATAGGCCATTTAACTGCACATAATAATGCAATTAGGCCACTAAACCTTAAAAAACAACAATTAGACCACTAAACTAACAAATTTCATTCAATTAGTCTAATTTATAGGTTTTGTAGGTTAGTAACAGGTCACCCAAAAAATTTAAAATATTTTTTAAAAAATTATTATTTAAAAATAATAAATTAAAAAAAAATGTTTCTTCGCTCTGCCGGAGACGAAGAAACTTTCTTCGTCTCCGGCCAGAGACGAAGAACCTTCTTCGTTTCCATGGCCGGAGACGGAGAGTCTCTTCGCCTCCGGCCATGGAGACGAAGAAACTTTCTTCGTCTCCATGGCCGGAGACGATTAAATTATTATTATTTTTAAATTTTAAATTATTGTTTTTAAATAATAATTTAAAAAATATATTTTAAAATTTGGGTGACCTGTTACTAACTTGCAAAACTTGTAAATTGGCTTAAATGCATGAAAAATGTTAGTTTAGGGACCCAATTGTTATTTTTTTAGGTTCAGTGGCCTAATAGCATTATTGTGTGCAGTTAGATGGCCTATTTGACCCTTATTCCAAAAATAAAAGTAATGAAGTACAAATAAGAAGTCTATTTAGTATAACTCTGCACGAAATTGATTAGAATACTACGCTGTCGTCCTAATTCCTATCAATAAGTGATAGGCAAATTATACTGGACCAAGGTAGTCCTTGATACTTCAAACACAATGTTAACATATATATAATTGATTATCTTATGTTTATATTCAGAAATTCTTTTCAAATACTGCAGTCACACAATATTTACAAATTTCATGTGTTGACTTAGAAACACAATGGTCCTGTTTGGTAAAAAATTGACTTATAGGCCAATTTTCCTTATTTGATCACTATTAATGGTTTGATTAGTTAAAATATCAATAAAAATATTTGGTTAATTAACTTTTTGCAACTCCAAAATGTTAAAATTCAAAAAGCTACCACAAACAACTTTTTCAATTAGCTTTTTTAGAAAAAAAAAAAAAATTATATCAAACAACTATCAGCTAACCACTAATTTACCAAACACTTTTCTACAACAACTAATGTTATCAACTAGTTATACCCTCTAATTAACACAATCAACTAACTGCTAACAACTATCAATTAATAGCCATTTACCAAACAAAACCAATTTTTATTCTAAAAGTTGATAATTTCAAATTTTCAATATTAAAAATACACAATTTAGAAGGAAAAATGGCACTTCCTTGCAACATTATTATGCAAGAGATTTGCATCAACTGATTCAAAAATAATTCGGTAGTTCACGGAGTGGTTAACAATCCTGCCTGCAATTTACAAAACTCTAGACTCCTCAGTCCTCCCCAACCCCAAACAACAAATGTTTGATTAATGATTGTATGTGTAACATAAACTATCTATCCACAAACTTATCCTCAATGCTCATCTCATCGGAGGGTGTTGGCAATTATGGGACGTGTGTGTTTTATTGGTGATGATGATGAACTCTCCATCCGTCTGCTCTTCTTGTTGGCAGACCCTTCACTCCGCGATCCCCTCAAAGCAGCCATAAGTTGCTGGGCTCTCGACCCACGCATATTTTTCTTGATTGCCGACATCGCCTGCTTTCTTTCCTCGCTCTCCAGGTTCTTCTCTAGTTGCCTTTTGCAAGAACCCGTTCTCGAATGTTGTGGACGAGGGATAGAACAATACACGTTTTCTGCAATCCAAAACCAAGACAAGAGTCATATATATGTATGTATATACACTATTACTTTTTCTGTCATAGAAATCAGAGAGTAATTTTACCAGGGGAGTCCTGTCTGTATATTTCCGGGCTTGGGGACCGTGGTGGCGTTGTGGGAATCAAATCCAGGACACGCTGTTTAGGAACACCAATCTTCTGTCTCTTGCTGTCTTGTAGAGATGGAGAAGCCATTTTCATCGTAGCTTCAGGAGAACAGACATCTAAAGTCTTAGTTGGCATCATCAATGGAGTTTCGTTTTCGTTTCCTAAACTTTCCTCCTCGACCCTCTCATGTGTCACTCCATTGAATCTCACCGGGGAAGCCACCATATCAGCAGCAACTCTACTGCTCATCCCGGGTGGATTACAAGAAACAACATCCTCATTATCTAACACCGACTTGGGAGAAGTGCTAGGCATTATTAGCTTTTGTGTTTCAATGAAATCCGAAAACCATGGAGTGCCTTGCTTGGCATAGAATAGAATATATGCCTCCTGTGACATCACAAATTCTTCTCTAACCCTTGAAACCTACAGAATTGTAAACATACCATCAATTTAATCATATCTAACAGATCTAACCAGATGGAAGCAATCAGCCATCTACTCTTATTAGCCAAAAATCAAAACAGGTGAAAGAAACCTTTTGCAAATGGCATACCTTTGAGTCATCAAACTTGTACCATGCATCCGAGGCAGAACGGATGAAGCAATAATAGTGCCCAGAACAAGACGAGAACCCATTGTGTACTACAATTGCATAAAGACAATATTTTGAATCTCCCTGCAGATGAAACATATAAAACAATATAAGAGATGTATTCAAAGTTTATGGGTTTAAGAAACATTTGCTATGTTTGGTAAAACTTATTTTATATACAAATAAGCTATAAACTCTGTTTGGTAAAATATGAAGAACTTAAGCTAGGTATGCCAAACAGAGCAATTGTATTAACAACAATCTAGCTATTCTTCTTGGACTGCCAAATTCAAGATCTAAACCAACCACCTAACATTCTAACAAATAATTATTTCTTTTGGGGGGGGAATATCAACAATTCCACATGGGAGAGGCCTGTTGAGCATATAACCATTAATGTGCAATCTAACTATCAGCTTAGGCTTTTAGTTGATATGGAGCACATGCTTCAATTAGGCCTAATGATTACTCACAAAATTGAAATCATTGCATGAATAATGCAAAATATAAGAGTGACTCACATTACTTATATGATTCTTTTCAGCATAAGGAAGCAAATCCAATTCGAGTGGGAATGCGACATGTTTGTCAATCTTCTCAACAACAGAACCATCATTTTTGAATCTCTTCAAATGAAAGGTAGCAACTGTCGGGACCTCATCCAGTAAAAGCTGCTTCTTGATCAGCACTTGCTCTTTACAGTTTTCACATGTGAACATTGTCTCTGGATCTTCAATGTTTTCGACCCTTGTAAAAGACTCCAAAGCAGCAGGGATGCTGTCCACATCTTCAATCTCCAAACTCAAGTCAATCAGGGGCTCATAAGTATCAGAGCAGTGGCCACAATTGCAACACCAGAGCTGCAAATAATTAGACCATTAATTATCAATTTGTGATCTACACACAAAATAAAGACTAAATCTAAGTCACTCTCGAGTCATTACTTTGCTAATGAGGCGGCCACCGAAGGTCTGTTTTACAAAGTTGCCATCACAACAGCTTTCAAGTCTATCTAGGAAACACTGGAGGAATTCATGAGCATCTTCCTGTTGGTACCTCTGAAAACCAGATGAAAAATCTGAATTTTTTAAAAGTTAAGGATCATATTGGAATAAGCTCTGATATAGCCAGTACAAGTCAAACAATATCATCTACCCAAGAGTAACCCCAACCAAAATTACTAAACATACAAACTTGTAACCACAAGATCACAATTTCGAATCCCAACCCTCTTTATTTACATCTTTGTGGTCATTTACCAACTAAAGTAACAAGACAAGATTTACCTAGTGCACACCCTGGGATAGTGACTACAAGTCGATCCCAACCCTCTTGGTCACGATCAACTACCCTCTTGGTCACGATCAACTATGGACAACCTAGGCTGATTTACATCTTTGTGGTCATTTGCTAATTAAGATCACAAGGCGGGATTTAACTAATGCAGTTTCCCTCATAACCCAAAAACAAATATTACCTACCCAAAATGAATACATACACAAGTTTATGGTAAGTACTAACAAAGGAGAGTGTAAATGGGAACAATAGAAAAGGATACAGTTTAAATTGTTGACAAGTTTCCAGGGGGAGACAACACCACTGTTGGTAGCCAAAAAGATGTCAATAAGCTCTTTCAGAGCACAAAGTGCACAGAACCCTTCAATATAGCCTGCAATTTATAGCAAACCGCATAAAATTTAGGGCAAAAAAAAAAAAAAAAAAAATCAGAATACAGGTCGCAAGATTAAAAATTTATAGAACCCAGATAATTACAACCCTAAAACTCTAATAGATTGATAGCCAAACAGCTTTAAAACAATTGAGTTTAAAAGGTCCTACCATCACAAGGCGATGGATGATTAGAAGCTTGAAGGCCTTTAAGCACAGGGACTGTGTGCATGAAGCATTGCAACACCGCATTCAGAAAGCAAGTATTACCTAAATTAGACAGCCCTCCACCCTATAAACGTTCACGAAAACAGTAAATACACAGTCCAACAAGATAAATCTCAATAAACGAAGTAATACAAGGACTATAATAACATACCACGAAGAAATGCTTGCCATCCTGAAGATCTTCCTTTTCCATCTCATCATCCCAATCAATTAAATCGTCGAAATCCGGCGAGGTTCCGGTGGCGGCAGGAGCCTGGGCCGGTGAAGTGACCGGAGATAAAGCCCGGTTTTTTGGCGGATCGGGGCAGTTTTGAGTTTCTAGGGTTTCTGAAGAATGGGTTTCCATTGGAATGCTGAAAATCAGTGGAGGTTTGGGAAGAAAATTGAAACCTAGGCGGTGATAGATCAGGGATTTGAAGTCTCGAGCAAGTGAAAATTGTGGAGGGAAAAGAATGAATTGGAATATTTTAGGGAAGATGGAAAAGAAAGGAGGGAAACACTGATAAATAAAATCAGTTTTTTTCTTCTTTAGACGAGAAGGCGGGAACATTGGAAACTAATTAGCCGCCAGCCCGCCATTTTGGTTTTTCGACGAAACTTGATTGGCTGGAGCGCGACGTGTCGGAAGTGGACCTTTTAAGGCTTTAACCAATCATGGACCTCTTCATTTTTTTCATTTGATTAATTTTAAACTCACACGACCCTGTTCTTAGAAATAACTATTTCCTACACTGATTTATATAATAAAGGTTGTAATTTTATAAAGTACTCAGGTTTATGATTAGTAATGTGTAAAGGCGGAATTACGGGGTGAAATTCTCTCCCTCTCATTCTGTTAAAATTTAAGTTTATAAGGGTTAAAAGATGTATAATGGATAAGGTTATGGGTTTCACAATCCTAAAGGAAAGGAAGTCACAGTCCTAAAGGGATTTCTATTCCTAAAGGAGGTTCCCCATTCCTCTTGAAAGAGGGTTTCTCATCACATCTATAAATACCCAAAAAAACTATAGGGATCTTAACGGTTTCAAATCTCTAAGTTTTCTAGTCTAAGTATCATCAGTAGGGTTGAAAATAGGTCGAGTCGAGCCGAGCTTTGAAAAATTACAATCGTTATGCGTTGGACCCGTGTCCAGCATGCATGCTGGACACGAGTAACAGTGCCGTTAGGCACTGTTATCTCTCTTTTTTTTTTTTTAATTTCAGATCGCTTCGTTATAGGAGTATATGTTCATAATTTTATTACTATATGTTAATAACTGTACATTCATAACTCCATAACTGTACATTCATAACTCCATAATTGTACATTCATAATTTTCGAAGCTCTATGTTCACAATTTTAGAGCTCTATGTTCATAATTTTATCACTATATGTTCATAATTGTAAGTTCATAATGTCAGAGCTCTTTGTTCATAATTCGATCAATAACTGTACATTCATAATTTCATAACTGTAGATTCATAATCTCATAACTGTAGATTCATAACTCCATAACTGTAGATTCATAACTCTATGACTGTACATTCATAACTCCATAACTGTACATTCATAATCTTCGAAGCTCTATATTCACAATTTTAAAGCTCCATGGTCATAATTTTATCACTATATGTTCATAATTGTAAGTTCATAATGTTAGAGCTCTGTGTTCATAATTTCATAATTGCATAACTGTACATTCATAACGGCATAATTGTACATTCATAACGGCATAACTGTACATTCATAATCCAAAAAAAAAAAAATAACGTCGTTAACGCCGTTAACGACAAAACACGCGCGATTTTTTTTTTAACTACGACGTCGTTTTGGGCCCATGTCCACAATGAATTGTGGACACGGGTCCAGGGCATAATTTGCCGGAAAATTAGGCTTGGGCCTGTTACGAAAATATAAAGCCTAGGCCTGGGCCTGAGCCTGCATGTAGACTTTTTTGTTAGGCTCAAACCTGAGCCTGCAATTAGCCTGGCCTGGCCTGCAGCCTTTTTAAAAGTCTGTTTAATATTTAGGTCATTAAAAATGCTACAAAGTAAGTCCTACCTTGAGCCTAGCTATTAAAGCCTACATGTTAAGACTTTTTAAAAACTTTAGTATATCTAAATAATATCAGAAATGTACCTAATACAAAACAAATACATAATTACATAAGTATATCACCACAATACAAACATAATAGCAAATAAATATAAAATAAAACAAAACAAGTCACGACTTCAACATGTTCGTTAACTTGTTTATAAATAAATTCAATTGTATTATTGTTTGTTATCCTATATAATATCATAAATAATTAACAATAAACTCACACAATTAAGTTGCCACATTTCATTAAATATTATGATAGTAAGAACAGTTAATAAAAAAGTTACACAATAAGAACATTTATAGCAGGATTAACAGCAATGTTTATAGTTGAATCATAATTTAGAATGGGATTTTGGAGGTGGAGGGTTAGGGTTTGGTAATTATATATACTTGGGGTTATATTGTAAATATAAAAGTATTAGGTATAGAATAATAATAATAATAATAATAATAATAATAATAATAATAATAATAATAATAATATATACTAGCATTTTGTACGTGCGATGCGCGAAAATTCATGCCCAATATTAAAACATTGATAAATACAAATTATTAAAATTATAATTTGAATTATATATACACAAATAATATATGTATTTTGTACACACACATATATAATTTATCGTTCATAGAAATTTAATTAAAATATAATTAAGTATTAAATTAATATATAATGATTTTAATAAAATGATAATTAAAAAATAGGAAAAAGATATGATAGATATATGTGTATGGTAATAATGATGTGTATCAATGTTAGAATTAAAAACTAATGGTGTTATAACGGTGTAAGGGTAGTTTTGCCTAATAACATTGGATTGTACAACATTTAAAGTAAAATGTACACATTTATTTGCATATAAAAAGAGGGACATAAATCAAGGATATAACTTTAATTGAGGTTTATTATGTTTTTAGATATATATATATATATATATATATATATATATATATATATATATATATATATATATATATATATATATATATATATATATATATATATATATATGATAGTACAAATATCCACGTAATGCGGTCTAAGTACTGAATGAGAATAAGTAATAATAGTAAAGGGGATTTTATTGATCAAAATGAGTCCTAGTACAATCTAGATGGTTATCCCGAGGGCCGACTGACTACGGTCGGGCAGCTCTGTAAATAACCTATTGATCGTCCAAAAGTCCCCCTCACTGTAGCCGCCGTGGATACTTATAGCCTTTGGCCGGAGACAAACCTCCGGCCTACCGGCATGTATCCCACGTAGCGTCCACGCGTCTTCACCCGGCGAGCCCTCTCTGTCAACGTAGAGCATCGCCACGTGCCTCTCCCTAACATCTTTGTCTCTTTAAGAAGCAGAGGCATGATGACCGGAAAATAACATCGGTCGGGAAGCCTAGCGGTCGGGTCCTACCGCCTTGTCTGAACGATGCCCAACCTAAAGATCCTGCATAAACAACAAGATGAACCAAACCTATGTCGTCGGGATATATCCTACCAATATATATATATATATATATATATATATATATATATATATATATATATATATATATATATATATATATATATATATATATATATATATATATGGGCTTCGAATCCGGTGCACCCCCTTTGATAAATAAGGTCATGAGACCTCATGCTATCCATTGATTAATTTTCCATCAATGGTTCAGATAATTAGAGATTATTAAAAGAAGAAAGGATATATATTAACCAAAAGGATTAAACTGTAATTGTAGTTATTGAACTATTTATGGCATTAATAGTAATGGAATCTTAAGCATTAAATTAGGGATATAATTTATGGTAATTGAGGAGATGAATCGTTAAATCTTCAGGGAACTAAGAAACGCACTTCAGTAATGGCTGGACCAAGCACCGGTAGGTGCATTACTTCATATTGGTGTATGCGTAATACCTGTATTTGCGTTTTTTACTGTTTTTTTTTTACGTGACGAAGGACCTACGAAATAGGGGTATTTGTGAACCTCTAGAAACAACAGTTATGTGGAAGCGTGGCTGCATACCAGCTTCTGCAACCCTTCCGGCTATATTATGTCGTGTATATATAATGGGAGCTTAGTGGCCGGGTGCATGTAGTAACAATAGTCAGTGCATTATAGATGATTAGGCACTATGTCGGTGCATAGTCATGCGTTCGCATGTGCGTAATACCAACATTTTCGTTGCTTATTTTTTCGTTTATGCGGTAGCGTGATTGCATATAAGCTTGTGCAACCCTGCCGGGTTTATTAGGGCGTGTATGTATAGGGGGAGTTTAGGGGCCGGGTGCGTGGAGTTACAAAAGTCCGTTCATTATGGCTGAGTATGCACTTGACGGTTCGTAGTCGTGTATTAGTATGTGCATATTACCAATAGGACGGTTACTAATTTGTTAGTTGATGGGAAGAGCGGACTATCAATTAGGGCTATCTATGAACCTCAGGAAACAGCTGGTATGTGGTAGCGTGGATGCATATAAGCATATGCAACCCGTCCGGGTTTATGACATCATGTATATATGATGGTAGCTTTGAGGCCAGGTGCATGTAGGAGTAATCGTCTGTGCATTATACTGGTATAGGCTTACCGTCATGCGACCTATCCATGCGTGAAAGCTTATACAACATGTGCATAGTGATTAGCATTCGTAACATGCATTTTTACACCATACACGTAACACGGACTAGATTTTTTAAAAAGTAAAAATGAAATTGACACCCAAGCAATTTAGAGAAGGCGTACAACAAGTCATGACTCACAGTGAGGCCATAAAGAAATAATGTGTGTTTTACAATATGAATAGGGGGAAAACTATCATGATGCTGATATGTCATAACTTCATCAACCTCATCCGGGGAAATAAAACTTCATCAACCTCATCCAAATCCCGGGCTGGTTGTGCGGGTTCATAAAAAACAGCAGCAACCTCAGCCCGATGCAAAGGATCAACCACATTGGCAGCACCTACCGGCTCAGCAAAAAATAAGTAAAATGAAGACGCACCGACCCAACAACAGAAACACACCAACCTAAATGAAAAAGACAGGAAAATATAAATAATAGTGCCAATTAGCAACTAAACCACACCCTATCTTGCAAACGGTAAGACACTGCTACGCACAAACCACCACAACTAACAAGATAAATCCCAAAAACCTCGACCAATAAACAAAAAACACGCACCAACCCAAAAACAGTGGTGCACCCGCCTAAAAAAGAAAAAAAAAACAACAAAACAAGCAGTAGCAATTCCCCAACCACACTTTAAATCTAACTTGCACACGGTCACAGACACAAACGCACAAACCACCACCAATAGTCGCGACCCCCCCGAACCCCTACGAAATAATAAATAAATTACAAAGCATGCAACGACCGAATACCAGACGCGCACCAACCAAAATGAAAAACACCCA